GAGACATGGTTTGGCATGCATGATTATTATGATCAGTCTAAAAGATCATAAAGACGTGAGACTTGGTCTATGGGCAGCTACCTTGTTGCAGTTTTCGATTTCATTGTTCCGGGCTGTCGGCTGTATTCATCGGTCGGGCGAGACGTCGGCGCCTCGCACCTGCAGGTGCCACACCCGGGCCACGGGGCCACTGTGCACGCTCCACTTGCGGATGGAAGAAAAAGTGAGCGTGTTGTACTGTTTCGTTCGATCATATTCTGTTCGTTTGTTTTTTTGTTATCGCTGATGTGTCAAATGTCTCCTCTGCGCAATATTTTTTTAAATGTAGAGTGGTTGAGACAACAGAGGAAAAAAGAAACGCGGGTAGAACATAAATGTTCCCCCCCTAAGCTGGGCTTTTGGAGGTTTGTGATGCAGACTTAATCTTTTAGAGGCCAGCTTCGATCAGGAGCACTATCGTAGTGTCGGTATCTCTCGATTTACGACTCCTCGAGTAATTGGTGCTTATCAATTTAAGCAAAATGTCAAGGTAGTTTATAATTCCAATAACACTAATACGTAATGGTCGCTCAAACGAATGTTAGGGCGCTATATATAGTTTTCGGCAGAGTGGTAAGCATACCGCGGTGCGCGATCGATATCCATTACTGCGTTGCACGCGCGTGACAGCGTGCGCAAACGACACGACACCTTGACGGCAAACGACACACACACACACACTCGCACATCCATACACACTAATAATTGGGCCCTAATGATACTTTCCACTCGCAGCAGACAGACATGTCTATGTTTTTAATGAGTGCGAGAAAGGCTCTGACGCCGCCAAAAATATTCCAATTACTGGCGAATGGCGTCGGCAGCAGTTTTTGAAGGTGGCGGAAGTCCTTGTCCCCCCCCCCCACATCCTTTCATCCTCCTCCTCCTCTCCCTCCCGCTTCTTCTCGACATCCTCGTTCGGCGCAGGTCGGCTTCCAATAGTAATAATCATTATAATACTCCTTCGTGACAGAAAAGGTAAATAGAGCAAGCGCCGCTTCCGCCCGCATTCCAGCCCAACACGCCGAGAGTGCCCTGTTGACAAACTGCTTGTTGAGCTCATTGACAAACTCGAATTAGGCGTGCGGACCTGTTGTGCCCCCCTTCCCCCTCCCCCAACCTCGTCCCACACCCTCTCTCCGCCCTACCCGACCCGCCTGGTTCATGGCGTATGGGGAAGAACCGTTCTCCCCATGAACCAGTCGTCCCCCGAGACCGGGGTAGCGAGGAGCGCCGCGGGAGCCTTCTCGTCCTTCCTCCATGATCGTCCTCGTCCATCTCCTCGGGTGGGGCAGACGCAGACCTTGCTATCTGAAACCACCCTTATGCATTTCATTGCCCTGCCGCACCCCCCGAAAAACCTCGTGATGTAACGCGATCTAAATTAGTCCGCTGACATGCCTTTGAAAATAACTTCTCTCGACTCGTCCTTTTTCTCTCCCCTGACTGCACGCTGACTGGCTCGTTGCAATAAAACACGCGAGGGAATATGACGAAAAAGACGAGGAAAAGAGAAGCAAAGCGTAAAACGAGACGGGAAAAAAGGAAATAACCGCACTAAAAAGAAATCCGTCGTCCTCAGCAGCGATAAACGCAGTCGGCATCAGCAGCAGCCGCCGCCGCAGCAGCAACATGCCCCACGTGTCCGTGTTACTCCTGGCGCTGGCGATCGCCGACAAGGAATTCGCGGCTCGCGAGCCGGTCGCCGTGCTGCTGCAGCAGCAGCTACTCTGGAGGCCCTCGGCCTCCAGCAAACGGCTGCTGGAACTGGGGGAGCAGATCCCGGGGCAAGGGCAAGGGCGGCGGGAGGAGTGGATCATGGAGCAAGGGCAAGGGCAGCTGGAGGAGCGGATCCTGGGGCAAGGACAAGGGCGGCCGGAGACGAGGATCATGGAGCAAGGGCAAGGGCGGCTGGAGGAGCCGATCTCTGGGCAAGGGCGGCTGGCGGAGCAGATCCTTGGGCAAGGGCGGCTGGAAGAGTCCTTCAACCTGATCAAGGAACTTCAACTCGTAGGACGATGGCCGCTTATCCTGTGCCGCGCCGAGGAGGTAGGATGTCGTTTCGCTATCAGGCCGTAGATGTGGTGGTTATGCGTGGGGTTTACGGCAACGCTGGCAGGCCAGGCCGCGCCGCTGGGCGGCGGGAACGGCACCACGCCGAGGCCCCCTGGCTGGCAGCTACGTGCTGCTCGCGACCGAGGCCACGCTGCCCGCCCTGGTGGACTTGGCCGCCGGGCATCCGTCCTGGAACCCCGGGGCACGCTTCCTCGTCATCCTCCTTGACGGCCGCGACAGGTAGGCAAGTAGGCAGACCCGTTTGGCCGGGTAGGGCGGCCGCACGACCGCACGACCCGCATGGCTGAGGCCCCGCTGTTGCAGTGAGGACCAGGACCAGGGTCTGCAGGGCCCCCAGCGGCGCGCCACGGCTGCTGTCGGCGCCTTGTGGGCCCGGCTGGCCTCGCGCGTCGTAGTGCTGCACGAGCTCAGGGTGTTCGCCTGGTCGGCGTACTCCTCGACGTGCGCCGACACCGTGGCCGTCAGGGCGGTGGCCAACCTCTCGGCGGCCGTCGAGGAGGTGTCAGCGGTGTTCCGGTCGCCCCTCGCGACCGCCGGCTGCCCCCTGCGCTACTCGGCCGTGGCCTGGCCGCCGTACGTGCTCAGCGGGGCGCGCAACCCCGACCGCGGCTTCGACAGCGGTCTCGACGTTCAGATGCTGCGCGCCTTCATGCGCCACAAGGTGCGTTGTCGTCGGCTGACTTAACGTCTTCTGGAGCCGCCGTGGCCGCTGACGGGGGCCTCTGTCCGTCCAGGGTATGCGGCCGCGGTTTGTAGAGCTGGCCGACAAAGAGCAGCGCTGGGGCGACAGCCTCAACGGTTCGTGGACGGGGCTTCTGGGCATGCTGCAGCGCGGCGAGGTGGACATCGTGTTCGGGGGTTTCTACTGCCTGCCCGACCGGGCCAACGCCTTCCACCCCACGATGCCCTACACCCACGAGGTGGGCACCATCGCATGGCGGCGTGGGGCGGCAGGATCTAGTCTCGGGTGCTCATATATTCCTTGCGTGCTGCAGTCCATCTCGTGGTGGGTGCCGCGGCCGCATCTGGTGCCCAACTGGCAGATCCTCTTCGGGGCCTTGCCCAGCGACGCAGGCTGGGGGGGCTTGATGGTCTTGACGCTCTCCGCGGCCACGGTCCTGGGCATGCAGCGCGCCCAGAGGGCCGCTCTGCCTCGCGGCCCGGGCCTCCGCCCCCGCCGCGGCGACGGCGTCGTCCAGGTGATGCTGTCTATCGTGGGCACCGCGCTGGACCAGCCTCCGCTGGTGTTGTCGCATGCAGCCGCGCCGCGCCTCTTCTACTTCACCTACGTGTTCTTCTTCTTCCACTTCAACATTGTCTTCCGCACGGCCATAACGACGCGCCTCGCGAGTCGCCCGCACCTCGTGCGTATACAGGAGCTATGCTATAAAACTAAATAGCTAATGTGGGATAACTAATTATATAGCTATGTAGCATGGAGCTAAAAATTAAACTGTGTGGCTAATAATGTAGGTAAATAGCTAAACAACCGAACATAGCTATTATTTAGCTCATTTTACAGCTAGAGAGCTAAATAATTAGCTATCCCGCTTTTAGCTTTTCGGTTTAGCTGTTTTTTCGAGCAGTGTCAAAATAGTACGGTGAATTTCACTGTACGTTACAGTGAAACTTGTGCCTAGGTAGTCTTTCTGCACAAACCTAACAATGTACTTCTCTTGCCTGTGACCCTCTCAGCCCGGGCTCTCGACGTACCACGACCTGCTGCTGCACGGCTTTGAGGTGGGCACGTCGTCGACGGACCAGGCCGTGGACCTAATGCTGGACGACGAGGACATGGCGTCGATCCGCGACCTGCACAAGGACTGCGAGGTGTCGGAGTGCCTACGCAAGCTCCAGCAGCGCCACGACAACTACGGGCTCTTATTCAGCAGCGCCGTCATGCAGTACCTCACGCCCAAATACTTCCTGGTGAGTGTGAGCGGGCGGTGGAGGGGTACTCAGTACTCCACTCAAAAATATCAGTGTACACCCATCAAAAAAAAAAAAATAGGATGAATTTATTAAACATTCAATAACACAACTCAGATTTTTAAAAGTAAAAACATAGGAAAAGGAAATTAATTGCAGAAAAATTGGCGCACACTTGAATTTGTAGTGACTTACCCGTTGGTTTACATCCCCTCACCTTGTTGAACCCGCTGTAGGACAGTGCAGGGATGCCGTACGTGGAGCGCCTGCCGAGCCCCGCGCTGCCCACCTACGTCACCATGTACTTGCGCAAGGGACACCCCCTCGCCATGCAGGTGGACGCGCTCTTCGCCCGCCTCGTAGAGGCCGGCTTGCCCGACGTCTGGCTCCGCAAGGCGGCCTCCGCGGATCACAGGGTAAGAGCGCAAAGCCGGGAGGAGGAGGTGCACCGTCTACACTTACTTCACACATCGCGTTCGGCAGGGGAAAAAATGTGGCGGAAATGTCCTCGGCAGGACAAGGATGGCGATGGCGTGCCTGACCCCGAGGACGGCGGCGCGGACAAGGAGCTGACCCTGGAACACCTGACCGGCGCGCTGGTGGCCCTCGGCCTCGGCTCCTCGCTGGCCGTCCTGGCCTACCTGGCCGAGCTGGCAACCTCCTTGGGATCGCTCGTGGCGCGCCGCCTCAGGGTCAGCGTGTCCTGGCGGCCCGCCACCGCGGACGACAGCCCCGTGACCAGGAGATCGCCGTCGTCCCGGCGTCTACGGCGTGCCGATCCTGGCGCTCGCCATTGCGGCGTCCTGAGTCCTGAGGCTGTGGGAGGACTGAGGCGGCTGCCGGTCCACGCGGTGGCTATGGGTTCCCGCCGCCGCCCTCTTCCCGGCTTCGGCTCGTAAACTCCTCATGCACCGCGATGAAGGATGGGCGCCGCCGCGCGCTGCCCGCCCCCCGGGCCCCGGGCGCCCCAATATATCGGATGCGCGTGTACGTGTGTTGTTACGTTGGGTGATTCGAGGTGTGTGGTTATGGGCGGGGCGGGGCGGGGCGAGCAGTTCATGAGCATATGACGCAACACGCGGCGCTGCTGCGCGTGAAATGGTTCGCCAAGTGATGCGGCAGCGTGTAATTTTTCAGCCGGGCCACCGGGACGCTCCTGCCGCCGGTTCCCGCCGGGTGGCCCGGCCCGCCCCTCTGTACTACACCGCCCGCCCGCCCATTCACATCACTAAACACTTTATTCTAATACCTCAGCCTCGCGGCGCCGCCGAACGCCCCGCCGCCGTCGCCCTGGGGTCGGCGTTGTGACGCAACACGTAGGAGGGCCGGCCGATATCAAGTGGCATTAGTGGCATTAGCCGATCAACGAATTGAGCCGTCTTTGGTGAAAGGGAGTAATTGAATTTGAGTGCAGCACGGCGGGCCCTCTTGTTTACCGCCGCGGCCAACCCTCGACGCGTACGTGGCGCGGCGCACGTAAGTGTGTTGTACCGCGGAGGGGCGTGGCAGTTGTGGACATAATGCGAGTCATACGTGACCATGATCTGGACGCACAGTTTTACGAAAAATATGTCATGCGGTGAGGCTGTCTCTTGTCACATACTCTAAGTTGATTCACTCTTGAGGAGGAAAATGACAGAAAATTTGTGTGCAATTTTGTATGCTTCCCGCGCCCCTCTAAAATCGCGTACATTGAACTTTACAAAACGAAACCGAAATGAATTATAAAATGGTTTAGAGGAGTAGGCATGCGAAGAAATAAAGTGAAAAAATAGACGCGGCCAAGAGGCGAGGTAGTAGTATTTTCATTTTCTGTCAACGATCCTTGGAGTCGCTGCTGTATCATCAGGAGGGCCCGCCTCCCCCGTTAGGCTCGAGGCGCGCTGACGCCCGGAGTCTCATTCCTTTAATTCAAAACAACAACAACGCCAGGCTTTGCACCGATCCAGGCCGACGGGACATTCCTCACTTGCGTTTCCAGCCGCACATTTCCAAACGCCTCCCCCGGACGCCTCCAGCAGCACACGGGGCATGAGGCGCAGCGCCGGCACGCAGGCGCGCACTCGCAAAGATACGGTAGCGATAACAAGCCCTGTCCGCCTAAATGTAATCAAAGTGCACTCACACACACACGCATAAATATAATAA